AAAATTTTAATGTGTGTTAAAAATGTACTGAGAAGGCATACTTGGCAAACACAAAAGACCATTTCTGTAAATCATAATCAGAAGTCAGACAATGATTTGTTTTTGCCTTAATGCAAGTATTGTGTACATGCTGATATGATGATTAGGTAGTCAGGCTACAGAGTGATTTAAAAGACAGCCCACAATTACTACACACCAACACCTACAAGCACACACACAAAATAAAAATCTTCTAAGTTAAAGCCAGGTATGAAAAGTGAATTTACTCTGTAAATCTTCACCCAAAAAAAAAAAAAAAAAAAAAAGAATGTGTGGTATAAAATCAGTGTTAGAACATACAGAGAGAACGGAAGTAATAGAAAGCTGACAATAACTGTTCTAGGCCCTTATAAAAAGCCAAAACCTGCATAAAATAATGGAATGATAAATATATTAAGTTGATTTGCAATCTAAATGCATAATCACAAACAATATGTCCTTTTCTGCAGTTCTCAAGAGTAATTAACTTTAAAATGAACCATATCAACAAAAGCATTAATATTACACATCTGAATCAAGAGGCCTCTGTTATAATTTTCTTTATTAAAAGTTTATAAATAAGGGACCTGTTGTATTGGGTAAACTGTGGTCAATGTCATGGGACAATGTGTGTGTGAACTGCTGTCTGGAAAGTGAATTTGCTCTGTAAACTTTCACCAAATCACAATAAAAAAAAAAAAAAGTTTACAAAAAGGCCCTCTGTTACACGAGTATATCAATGGTTAGAATGAACTAAGCTGCTATCAAGAAAACACACTCTCTGGAATACATATACCTGACAAAGGACTAGTATCCAGAACATATAGAGTTCCTACAAATCACTAAGAAAAATAGGCTTTAGTGGGTATTTCAAAAAAATCCAAATGACTAATAAACATGTGAAAGGCACTCAATCTTACAACTAGAGAAATACAAATAAAGTCATAAAGAGAAACTAACCCACAAAGTAACAAAACAAAATATCAAGTGCTAGTGAGAGAACTGTCCCTTGGTGGGGAAGATGAGGCAGCCCCCAGCCCTTTTCCATGCTCTGCTGTGAGCATCACTAAAATTCCATTTTAAAGTTTCTGCCTCTAATAGTATCTCAAGGGGCCTAGAAGGATGTTGACAAAGCAGTCTTCTTTCAAGTGCACTCATCTTTAGTGACCGTACTCAGGCTGTGTTGCTCTCAGGCCCACACCCTTCAAGGTACAATGCTGTGGTTAGGAAATAGAATACTGAGAACTCTCATACATTGCTGGTAGGAATCTAAAATGGGACAATCACTTGGGAAAAAACTTGGCAGTGTTTGGTAGAGATGAAGACTCGTATACTTTATGACCTAGCAAATCTACTCCTACCTATTCACCACAGAGAAACTCAAGTGTGTTCATGGTAGCATTGCTGAAGTAGCCAATAACTGGGAACAACTCCAGTTCCATCAATGATTAGTGAGATTAATGAAGGAATAGGCTTCTGCACATTTCACATGTTCATACAACACAGCAACCAGACAAGATGAATAAATTATAGCTATACCCCAAACCATGGTGAGATTTCACAGATACAATGCTAAGTAAAAGTGGCAGAACACAAAAAAGTACATTTGGCATGAGTCCTTTATATAAAGTTCAGAAATAGGCAAAACTAACTATATTGTTTGGGGATGCATTAAAAAAAATGAAACCATTCAAAAAAAAAAGAAAAGCCAGGATATCATCACAAAAGTCAGAATAGCAGTTGCCTCCGGGGCATAGGAAGGGCTGTGGGTTAGAAAAGGATGCAAGGGCTTCTGAGTGTTGGCAATTTCCCTTTGTGATCTTAACGATAACCACATAGATTTCTACTTGATAATTATTTGTTAAGTTGTATATCTGTGTTGTATGCATTTCTCTGTCATATTTCATGGTAATAAAAAAGGTAAAGAAAAAACTGAAAAACAAGCAAAACCTATTCTCCTGTCATAAAAGTGATGGCACTCATTGAGGTGTTTGCATAATATAAAATTATGGCTGAAGGAGGAAGGAAAAAAAATCCTTTTCAAGGGAAGGAAAAGAAGTCATCAGGAAATATTGCAGCTGCTAAAGAGACATGTAAAATGCTGATAAGGAGTTTGAGATGAACAATGAATGAAACAGCTGTGTCCAACACAGCTCAAGGATGGCAGCAGTTTCCACAGAATAATCTGTGATGTTTAAACAATGGGTCTGGTTTCCATGGTTGCACTGCTGGCCTGCTGTTGATTCAGCACTAAAAATCAAATGCTGCTAGTTTGTAGGTTTAATTCCCCTGTTGTTGTTGTTAGGTGCCATCAAGTCAGCTCTGAATCATAGCAATCCTATGTACAACAGAACGAAACACTGCCTGTTCCTGTGCCAGCCTCACAATCCTAGCTATACCTAAGCCCACTGTTGCAGCCACTATGTCAGTCCATCTCGTTGAGGGCCTT